TGAAGACAGAAAACTAAAAAGCAGCGATGTTTGTAAGATTACTAAAGTTGGGCTAGCTGGCATATAATGGTGTGCTACGTGTTGGCTAGCTACAGAGCTATGGTTAGGATAATATGAAAACATGAGCACAGTGAAGCTGGAGGATGAACGCTAACCTTTTTCCCCTCGATAAAAGTTAACATGAGTGTTCCTGATAATTAGAGACAAATGCAATTCCATGACAAAGATGCTGTAAATGGACCAAACTTTAGTCAGCAGAACAACTGAGATTATCTATCCACATCCACGATCATTAATATACTGCTGCATGTTATGCATTGCAATCTCTGATTTTTAGCTTCATGTACCCATTTCAAATATTTGTTAGCCTCAGAGTGATTCTTTTCTGACCCGATCAAATATCACAAGACAGTAATCACTGACTGTTTTTAGGGGCTTGTTCAGATTAAACAGAGCAAGATACAAAGCATTAAAACATGTTAAAAAGACAACACCCTTAATAAACACAGAGTAGTTTGGACCTGAAAGCAGGATTCATATGTCATCATTAAAGGTAGATTGGAAATGTATTTCTGTTTGACTAAGGTGGTGCAATGTTATTAGTATGATTTTATATAGGAGACGGTTTTTATGTCAGGTATCATCAACTGCACTGTTAGATAAATCCTGTGTTTGCTGTGATCTGTTATTTCTGTACAGGCACATTAGATTATAACCCCTCTCTTTAAAGGCTAACGTAGCCCATTCTTCATGCTATTTAACCTGTTCTTCTTTTGAGATCAGCTTTAACCTCCTAGGACCTGGCGTCCACATAAATGGACATCACATTTTGGGTTATTTAGACCAAAATACTAAATTTTGGTCTACAAGGGCCTGATATCCACTTATGAGGACATTATACTGCTACTGTTCTATCGAAATTTTAAACAAATATCCTCATATGTGGCCCTCATTTTTCTTAGAAACAAAAATCAGGTAAAAAAAAAAATCTGGTAATTCTTTGTTTTTACATTCATCAGGTCCCAATATGCCCAAATATCAAAGAGAAATTAAAAATGCATGCCATGGAAGAGTTCGGGTCTTAGGAGGTTAAACAGACTGATTTCCCTCTCCATCTGCATTCCTTTTGATATGCATTCAGTCTTACTTTTTCCCTATTTAACAGGCCTTTCAGTCACATGAGTAATTGTAAATGACCTAGGGATCCAATATCTGATCACAACTTTATCCCCACATTCACCTGCCAGATTCATTATTTTGTAACAGAAATATGATGGTAAGAATGAAAAGGGGCCTTCTAAAGTGACAGTTGTTTGCTGCCAACTTGACTCTTAATTCAGGACAGCAATTTTTTATCTAGTAAAATAGCCTAAAAGTGACTTTTTTTTTCTTTGTCAAAAGCCTTCACAGTTTAAGTTAAACTGGAATGGATAAAATGCTTTTGTAGTATATATTTTACATTACAAATCCAGTACTTCACAATATAATTAAAATTCACACAGTCACACAAAATTATAGAGAGATTTATTCTACGCACTTAAAGCTTCCCAGTGATGGATGCCTCGAAGGCAATTTTGGCTTCAGAAATCCCAAGGACACTTTGACATGTAACAGCTCTACCTTCTACACATACAAAAAAGTACACCCCACGCTAGAAATTAGCAACAGCTTTCTTAACACTGGTTACACTGATGTGCCCTTCCAAACTGTTTTCAAATCCTGATGTATAATGAGTTGATTTATTCATGTATTGGACTGAATTCAGTTGATTTCACAATTTTCTGGCCTTTGTAAAAGTATTGTGTTTTCACCAAGCCTAACAAATTTTACCAAAGTACTTTGTTTTCTTTTTTTTATCCCCAAACAACTTGATCATAGTAGTACTCTAGAGGTAATAACATGCTTTACAAAGAAACAATAAAGCAAGATTTGGTTTGTATACTACTTAGTCCAACCAGCTCTAAAATGGCTTTTTGAAAAAAAGAAAAGTATTTGTTGTGTAGAGGGATATAATACTCCACTGTAGTCTGAATTTGGGATTTTGTTAATGCCCCTGCATTTATGCTCCTTCCAACTCTTTTTAGCTAATTGAAATGGTCACAGAGTCATGCTAAAATGTGTTCTGGTAGTGTGCGATCATGCCTGCGCTCCAAAATGTGCAGGAGGATTATTTTATCTATATATCCAGCAAACCTGATGGTTTGATAGATGATTGGTTTGAGTTCGAGTGGGATATGTCTGCAAGCTAATGGCAATTTCCCATCGCAGTAACACATCTAGTTTGCAGTATATATGTCGACAGCTGCAGGAGTTCGGCGAGAGTTTCACTGTGGTACTGATAATTTCACTGCATCAAGCACAATTATAATATGCAGATTAGAGATGAAAATGTCCTCGCATGAAAATAATACAGAGGCTCAGCAACTCGGGAGTATATTTAGGTTCCAGAACACACACATGCACGAACCAATTGTGAAAGAGTTTTAGAATAAAAGTAGGTGGGAGGATGGATTACAGTTTCACACTATCTCAATTTAACACATCTGATTCTTTTAAATATCCCAGTAAGATCTAGTTTTAGCAAACTGTTCTGGTTCTAAAACAAAGACTTTGATTATGCTTTATTTACTTTTTTAAAAACAAAATCCCACAAAATACGTACTAATAGTTGAAGATTCTTAAGGTTAATTTTCATGATCATATCTACAGTATCCAAACTCCTATGTTATGCCTAACTATATATTTATCTATGTGCTTAACCCTAACTAACATAAGTTGGATTATTTTTAATTAAAAACTCTTTCTAAATACTTGACTTCAAATGTATTTGAAGACTGTGTAACAACCTGTATTTTGTTAAAGATCCCTTTTTAAATATCAACAACAGCAAGTTTACCTCAAATTTAAAAGGTTGATAGGAACAGCTTTGTATCACATTTCTGTCTTTTGCTGCTTTACTCTATAAAGCTGTATAAATCAGTATAATAACAACTCGTTCTGTGACAGTTGAACACACGTCAGGCATATTTACACGTATTTTTCTAATATACCTTCATGATGCTGATTCTTCTTGGATTAATAGTGTATATATCATTTATGTGCACTACTCTCTTATTTATCAGTCTTATTTTTGCTTAGTTTTTTTTTTTTCTTTGTTGTTTTTTTATTACTGTTATATACATACATTTTCTCCCATTATAATGCCTGTGGCACTTTAACTTTGTTAATTGTCTATCTTTGAGTCACGATATAGACCAGCTATTGAGCTTATTTGAACAGATTGTCTGTAAAGCTTTAATGGACCTTTTAACCAATCTTTTTGTTCGCATTTTATCAGGGTATTTTTTAGTAGTTGGCAACCAGCCAGTGTGGTTTACAAGCAGTAATAAACAGCTGGACAATTTTTTGGTTTGCTGGCTGAGGACGGGTACAACAGGGATTGAAGAACACTCAGTGGGATTGAAAGCACACAAGGGAATTTAAATGCAAAAAAGGGCACATACCAATTTCTCTTTGGAGAACGGAAATTTCTGTTATACATCATTATTATTGGTGAAGCAATCCCTTGATCAGACCCACTTGTTTGCAATTCATACTAGGCATACTAAACATTTCATTGTTCTCCTGTTGCTGTAAGATGTGATGAAAGTATTCAGCAAATGGAGTATGCTGTCTGAAAGAAGAAGAAAACATAATCTACTGCGCTAGAACAGAGGGGGATGTTTGCCTTGATATTCCCGAGTTCTCTCTTGTTTTGAAAGTGACCTTTCTCAGCCTGCAGTGTAATGTTTGGTTCTCTGATGGTCGTTTGATGGCGTTTGAAGTCAGGCTGCTGTAGTATCTGCTGAGTGATTAGACACATTGTTTTGAGAAGGGATATGTGAGGCTCAAGAAGAAAATATGCACACTCATATTTTCCTCTCTCACACATCTTAAACCGCTTAGGCTTTTTCTCTATATTGACTTTTGCCTACCGCACTCATTTTCCCTCTTGTTAATGTTTGTTTATAATAAAAGCAAGAGAAAAAAAAACACTTCCCAAAATTGCTTTAAAAAGAGAACCTTCTGTGAAACTCTCTACAAAGTCTTTGAAGAACATGAGGTAGACAACAAGCTGTAGCATCACCACTAGCCAGCTCAGAGCTAATTAAACAGTAGCAGTAACTCATTAACTGAATGGAGTAGCAGACAACACTGGAAAACAGAGTCACAAAAACAAGACGCAGAGTCCAACATCTCTGGAGAAGAAAAATAACTCAAACATTTCAGCACTTCCTTTCAGTTATAGAGGAACTATTGATCCAACACTATATTAGAAGAAAGGGTTTCCAACCGCAGATACAGAAACAAGTTTACTGTTCAAATGCAATGCACAGGTCAAACTTGTGAAAGGAAAATTGTTTGCCTTTAAAACATATCCTTTTACTGCTGAAATGGTTTTTGCTTACCATGACTAAATGTAGTATTACAACTAAGTCCAACAAACCTCTGCATCACTAAAATACACCGTTACAGTAATTATTCAGACGAGTGCAGAAACCAATTAAGGTAATCTGACCATTTTTTTCCTTCTAGTACAGATGCTGCTTTTCATTTTTTACTCAGAAATGAAAACATCTCTCCTTTACCAAACACCTCAGACCAACACACAGATACACACACTGGTGTCTGCAAATCACTATGTTTCACATCAGTGTTGCAATCTGCCAGCCACAGCAGCTGCATCGAGGAAACACTTGATATTATATATATTCTGACATGCCAGCCAGAGAGCTCACAAATATGCTCTGCCGTTATCTAATAAGAGAGGCAGCCAACCCATACCTTGTAAACAAAACCACTAGTACAGAGAGAAACAATGCAGACATTTCTGTGAAACACACTAGCATTAAATCACTCACATCACTCTTCAACAACATCAAACTTTGCGCGTATGTGCACACACACACACACACACACACACACATATACACACACAACTTTGAGATGCAGCTTCTCACCGCTAATGCAGAGGCTGAAACGACAGAGTTCATCACACAGGGTATCTGGGCTCTCCAGCTCTCCTGGTCCTCCTGCCCTTCCTCCCCCTCCTTCCCTCCTCTTCTTCCTTGGTGACATCCTCTTCACCATCTTCATCACTCGCTCTACTTTGTCCATCCTGGATAGCCGAGTTTCACCTGTCAGCTCCGGATGCAATCTTCCCTCGTCTCTGTTTTTGCTTCTTTTTTTTTAACTTCTTTGTAACTGTTTATCCAGAATGCTTATAAGTTTCAGCACTCTGTGTACTAGTTTCTTCTTTCTCCCCTCCCTTGCCTCTCTACAACACTGTTACTCCTTTGCTTTTCTGAAATTACCTCCTCTTCTTCCGCCTTATTCTACCAACCTCAATTTTTTTCCTCCCTTTCCAGCGTAGCACCTAATTGCCCAGGTTTAGTTTTAGAAACACCTCAGCCATCCTGTTTTCCTTGTCTTTCTTGCCCTTCTCTTCCTTTTTCCTGTTCTTTCTTCCCCCTTGTTCAGCTCATGGAAAATCTGCACGAAACGGCGAGAGAAGTGAGACACTGTGGGAAAAGAGAGTAGAGGGAGAAAGGGAGAGGCTGCACCCCCACCCTGCTTTCTTATACACTCACTCTCCATCTATCTCCACCCCAGCCCACCTCCCTACCGCACCACCCCCACATCCAACCTCCAAAACTCTCAGCTGGTGCTTTGCTTTGCCTATCTTTTCCCAAAAGGGGGAAAAAAGCAACATGAAAAAGACCCAGCATGGTGCTAGTTTTTTGTCTTTCTGCAGTTTTATGTCTCTCTCTCTCCCTTGCTTGCTCTCTCTTTCTCTCGCACCCACATTTCATTCATCAGTAAGCACGTACACAATCACACACACAAACACAGGAATTATTGGTAACTTCTTCCATCAAATGATGTCTCTGCCGCATGATTTTCTTCCTTCTCCTCTCTTATACACTTACCCCATCCTTCCTTTTTTGGTTTATCCCTGTATGGTGTTATCTGTACCTCCATCTTTGATTCTGTCTTTCATATCCTCCTATCCATCCATACCTCCCACTCCACCAGCCTCCTTGACAACACTTTTTCCTCTCATTTCCCTCTCTACATCTAATCTGACCCTCTTAGTGTCTCTTACTATTCTTGTCTTTCTCTCTGTCATCACCCAGCCACTTCTTTTTTCCCCCTTCTGTCCCTCTGTCCCTCTGCCTCTTCTCATCTACTCTTTAATCTCTGTTTCGTGTCCTTCCATAATAAGCTCATTATCTCCTCTGGAGAAGAGGTCAAATGCACATACAGTATGCACACTCTGGTACAATTGTTTTATTAGGCAGGAAAACATTGTGGACGCTTCTGCTTAGCTGCTGAATACACAAAATTACCCATGGCCACACACAAAAAAGTATATAACCTATACTATACACATTCAGCCTTGGAGTCACTCACTCTCACATACACAGACACATTTGCAGAAGTCAGAGAGTGAACTCCACGTAGCTTTAATGAAAACTCACTCCAGGGGTTTTAGACATGCTTTTTGATCACAAGCCCAAGACCATCTGTACATGCGGTTTGATCCTGCAGTAAAGTTTGCACTCTTTGAAAAATGTGACACCTGATGAAATTGATTGTTTCCAGGAAATTAAAAAGTCACTCAGTGAAGATTATTCAGGGTTCTGAATGTCACAAACCAGCTGCTTCTGCAAGAGCACCACTTCAGAGTACACTTTCATCGGTGGAGTTTTACAGTTAGTTGAAGAAAATCAATCAGAGTAACTTATTGATAGAGTAACTTTAATGGTAGTTTATAAGAAGCCATATTTTTTTCTGTTATCCTATGTCAACTGTAGTCATCTGTTGACCTGCTAGATTAATTCCATAACTTCCTGGGGAATCCCAATCTCATATTTGGAATTAGGGGATTTAATTGTAGACAAGACCTGCGAAAGATAGTGTAAACTCTGTTTATTCTTTTTGGTTTTATTAAACCCTCTTAAAGGAATATTTGATTTTACAGCCCTTTAAGAGGATTGTACTGTGAAAAGTACCACAAACTCTCTATAATAGGATGTTTCTGTGGTGTAAACAGAGTGACAGCGTGTGAACAAACTCATTAGGTAAGGATCATTTGGAAGAATTGAAGATGATTTATTGAGATAGAGAATTCAGTTAAACTATTTAATGATTATACTCCGATGACCAATCACAGAAGAACAGAATCCCAGCAGTGATATGAATTAGCATGAAGATGAAGATAGAGGCTTGGATGGGGATGAGGCCTCAATCTCGCTAAATGCAAGTTTGACAAGGCAACAGTCACGTACCTATGTGAGCAGGTTGGTTTTGGACAGGTCCGCCTGGTGGAGGCAAAAATTGCTGCAATCCTAAACTATCCGACTCCAACCACCAGGAGGGAACTGAAGTGGTTCCTAGGTATGACTGGATATCAACGGTGTTTCTGTAAAAACGTCTCCTGTAACCACGCTATGTAGGTACCAAAGGTACCCTTTGAATGGTCGGTAGTATGCCAGCATGCGATTGACTCAGCAAAATCAGAAAAGAGATTCTGAAAGGCAGAGCACTCAGATTTAAAGCATGCAAAACCAAGGCTAATTGGGTCAAACAAGGCAGGCAAGAAAATGACTGGAGTAGAGCAATGATCTCAACATTGAGTTTGACAGCATGAGGAAATGGAAGAGATGTAGACTTGCAGCTGAATACCCAGGAAAGCAGCTGAGTGATTACAACTCTTACTTATTGATCTTAGACATGAGCCTCATAATTAAGGGTAGATACCTAAAATGCTAAGCACCATTGACCTGTTGTCATATACAGTGTTACAACTGTGTCAGAGAGGATGATATATGATGAGCTTTGAGACAAGACTTGGGTGTGACTAAGCCTTTAACCCTTGTCTAAGTGCTGAGTTTATTATTTCAAGTCTCAGAATAGATCATTTACTGCTGTCCATACGGCAACTAGTTCTCATCACCAGTGATGATCTAGTCAACATTTTGCCCATATCACAGTAACGTTATAGAAACAGGTGGTAAAGATGATAAGAATCCCCAGTGTGATCTATGAAAATACATACACATTTTGACAAACAATGTTGCATTATTTCGATTAAATTTATATTCAGATTATCTCATTACGTGACATGTAATCTGAATAGGATAGATGGAAACAAATCACTGAATGTTGAGAATAAATTTACTGTATGGTTAGTCTTAGCTATGGTTCATTTTATTGACTTCAGCTGGTATCAGTCAGCTCTTCCTTGAAGTCCAGTCTCTTATCAAAAAAACAGCTTTAATATGTTTTAAGTTCTTAAAATAAACTGAAGGAAAGCTGAAGTCCAGCAGAGTCTGAAAAAGGAGGTCATTTGCAGACTGGCAGCCATTCTGTGCAGTGAAAGGACTGACTTCAGAGCTCACATTAACAACTTTTAAAGTATTATAGACTCTACAGGAGACAGGAATAGCCTCAATTCAGTATTTGGCTTTCTCACCAGGTTCCAGGACCTAAAAGTTGATTCATTTTGACTACTGCAGTACATTAGGAGAAAATTAAGGTGGAAATGAAGCACTTTGGATGTCAGTGGGGGATTCCACGTGTTATTCATTGTTTTGTTGTGTTTCTTCTTTTTGAGAATAATATGTTTCATTGGCAGTAAACATTAAACATTAAATGTGAAACAGTACTGCACAATGCATTTAAAATCATTTTAAATATCATTCAGATGCCTACAGTTTTAATCAATTATATCAACAGTAGCTGTGCATTACTTATTTGTTTATTTTTTTAACACAACTGACCATATCAACCATACCTGTCCACTGAACTCCAGACATTTTTTTTCCAGCTTTGTGTTGAGCACTTTCCTTCATAAGTAACCCGCTGAATGATTTCATTCACTTAAACTTCAAAAACCAATGTAAGATCTACAGATATATTGTAGAATGCAGATAGCTAAATCCCCAAAGTGCAGAAAACTGCAGTGCATTTTAACCTCGGGTACAGCATCTTCATTGGATTGCAGTAGGTTCATTTCATACAAAGATTCTTAAGTTCTACACCCATCCAAATGATTTTAGATTAGTAAATTAAAAAAATTCTCTCTGCACTTTAAATAAAGGGCTAATGAATAAAAAAATTATTATGATTTAACTGATTTTTCATGCAGAAACTTATCAAAGTCTGTGACCTTTAAAACGACATACCGTATGAAACATTAACTAAATTGACAGAACAATGCACGTATAATGGATTTTCCTGCTCATCTCTTTCAGTTGGTCCTCACAAGAGGAGGAGAGGACCACAAAAAGACATCCTCAGCGCTCACATACAAACACTCACGGGCTATACAAACTTTCTCTTGTGAATTTGCTGAGAGTGGTTTAAAGGGATGCTTTTCTTGTGCTAAGAGAGTGTTTGAAGTTTCATAACAAAGCATATACAGTTTGTGAGTATGTGTGTGTACGAGAGGTTGTGGGGTTGTGTGGGTGTGGTAATGTACCGTCATTGGTACTCCACATGAACTGGTTATGAAACTATCTCATCATGTAGGGGTGTGAATTGATCACTTCAGCTTGCAGTGACTTACACTTTGCACACACACATACATATACATGGTCATACAGCCCATAATGTACACTTTATCTACACAATGTACACAAATACCTAATGGTGTACACATACTGGTATTAATAAAAAAAACTTGCAAAAAACTTGCAAACTAAAATTACCAGTAGAGTTCTATGATCACATTCATGAATAAAAGTAATGATGCGTACACTAATAAAAAAAAAAGAAAGAAAGAAAAGAAAGCAACACAAAATGTGATACACAAAAAAATAAAGAGAAAATCTGATTTCAGGCTCACCAAAAACTCAGCCAAATCCCTGGAGATGATGTTTGACGGTCACAGAGTGTTCAGACACATCTCTTTGACTCATCTCTGAAAAAGTCAGCTCACATTTTGAGGATAATGTAAAGCTTTTGTTCTAACTAGTGCAGTCACTTTTTTATGTATTAGGAATTCATAGCATCTGTAACTTAAAAATCTTGAAAAAAAATATTCATAAGTGTAATGATTTCTGAGGGGACACCTGATTAACTGTGATTCTGAACATTTCATATTTTTGATGGCATATTCACTTTGCATTTGGTGCAGAGCACTTGGGTGTGACACCCAGGGAACAAGTCATCAAAACAGCCTTGTGTCATGTTGGCAAACCAGAAAAAAGCTCATGACCCATTTTCTAGTTCAACTCTGCTTTAAATTCACTAAAACTTGTTCAGTCTTTTTCTTGGATGGTGGATTGACTGACTGGATGATTAAACACTGACCAGCTATTTGGCCAGGTGAGAACAATGCCAATTGGTCTTGCCTACTTGTCTCATAACATAAGGACACTCAAAAAATGCAAGAGTCAGCCCTCCAAAAGTTGAATTAGGTCAGAAAAAGTAACTTCAAACAATTGCAGCAACTCAGATATCTCATATGCAAGCATTTGGGGG